AGACACAGTACAAGCACATCGGAATCCATGTTGTGATAACTGAGGGGAAACCTTGGCATGTGATGTCATATCCTGCTCCCGCCCATATTCGCAGCGGCATCCGGAAAAATTTAGCACGTTCAAAGTCTAGTGTGACTGCCCCTTTATACTGTCTTTTTACGCTGTGCGGAAACGATCTCGGCACTGCAGCAGACGCACCGCTCCTGAACACACTGACGGACCACAACCTGAACGCTTTAATCCGTTAACATGAGCACGGAAAAAAAATATGCACCACGTATGCACTGCAAACGGAGTAATGTAAACCTGGCGTTATGTGTGTGCGGCTGTGGTTTTCAAATTACTTTATAAGTTATTTATTTATTTATGAAGAAATATAGCATTATAATTATTTAACCCGTGCCGGACAGAGACTGAGACTGTGCTGCTGCATGTCATGCCAAACCTCTCACGGCAGCGTCATCAGCTTGAGATCGTTTTTTTGAGATTGGCCTTTTAGAGTCCATATAATGTTATATTTCAATTTCACAAAGAAACGTGCAGCATTTTGTTTAGAATTTGTCTTAAATCTCATTTTGTAAAAAAAAAAATTGGGAATAGAATCGTGAAATCAAAATCGTGAATCGAATCGTGAGTTGAGTGAATCGTTACATTCCTATTTATTGTATATAAACAGTGGTGGCCAAAATTATTAGAACACTAGTATTTTCACCAGCTAAAAAATGGTTTTAAGTCAGTTATGTCAGTAGGAATTATCCGTTTACATTTCCAAACATTCATTTTGCCATTAATTGTAATAATCTAGTGAGATTTTTGTCTGACAGCAGCCAGTGCTCCACACAGAGATCTGATCTCATCATCATCCAGTCTGTCTGGAATGACATGAAGAAACAGAACAAACTGAGACAGACTAAATCCAGAAGAAAATCCTTGGAGACGAACTGTGGAACATCTCCGAGATGCTTCAAGAGACCTCCCTGCAATCTCTGTGTGGAGCACTGGCTGTTGTCAGAAATGGAGAAAAAAAAACAAAAAAAAAGTGAAGTCAGCTTTGAGAAAAGATCCTGCTGCATTTGAGCAGAGATACTGACACTTGATTTGATGTTTTATTGTCTAATGCAGTGACATTCAGATGTTTTTAGCTGTCACCTAATTGTCCAAATACTTTTTGGCTACTGCATATAGGGTTGGGCGATAATTCGATAACGATAATTATCGCGATATATGTGGCAGAAATGTGGGATATTCACGTTGAATTTTATTACAGGAGTAATGGTATATAATTATAGTACGTATTTGTGATTAAGCTATAGCATGTGTGCATTTATACAGAGTGTTTTTAGACTACTGTTTTTCATACAAATAGGCTACCTAAAACCCATATAGTTAGTTAAAACCACACATATATAACCTCAATACCATGGTAAAAATCTGTGTTTATCACGATTTAAATGTATGCTACTGTGGGAGACCAATGCTTAATAAAACAAACTTGGTCAGAATAAATTTAACCCAGGCAACTCAAATCTGTTTCTTGATTTGAAACAATATCCCTCATTAGAACATGCAGAAACTAAGAAATCAATTTTTCTATTTAGATATTTGTTTTGTTAAATCATTATAATGAGCCCAAATTAATGGTCTGGTTTCTACAAC